TGTTTGAGGGCTTCGCCCGAACCCCATCCCAACAGGGGGAGGTGAAACGCTGCCAAAATTTTTAGTAAAAAACCCAAATTTTATTTCTACCCCTAAAAATCATCAAACTCGGCGGGCTTATATATGTATTGATCCTTAATATATATAAACTAAGAAAGAAATTTTATCTTAACTAAATACATTTTCTTTAATTTATAATTGAAAAATACAAAAGAATTCCCTAGAAGAAGAAGGGAAAGAGACGCTGCGGTAACCTGGTTTCGGGTGAACCTGCTAGCTTGTTCCCGAAGGCGTGAGGCAAGCGACGAGAATTTTGAGTTATTAATCTACACCTCCCTCTTGCTGCGTTCTCTCTAGCCGCCAGTTGAATGTGGCCGCGGGTGCAAGTAGAGGTCTATGGGGCTAATATTGACTGGGACTTGGAGCCCCCTGAACTCATAGAGGGGGACCTGGTCGAGCTCACGGTCCCCGGGCGCAACATTCGACACGTTGACGGCCAGTTTGCGTGGAGGTCCATAATCTTGTCCTAGGACGTGTGGCTTTGGACGTACAGAGAGCACCGGTTGGGGCAAGGAAAGGGCGTAGTGAGAGCCTATTTGTATTTGGGACCAGGTGCGGTCAGGGAGGCCGTGGTGGGCCTCGCGACGACAGAGACGAGTGGCACAATTAGCAGGGCGTTACGCTACCTAGGGGAAGAGGTAGCTGCCTTCCGAGCGGAGGACTCGAGCGACCCGTTGACCCTATTTCACGGACGCCCTCCTCTTGATATCACGGGCGAGCTGGTGGTAGCACGGGACGGGTTTTTTCCGTACAGCGTTAGGAGCCTGCGGGCGATAGTTCCGACGTTCCTAGTAGAGAGCGTCTTTGGAGGTATTGGTGGAGTGGTCGAGACATACCTGGCCTATCAGGATCTCAAGATCCTGGCGAGAAGGCCTGCCGACCTAGACTACATCTATTATTCGCTCGCAACCGGTGGGCCTCGTTGGGGAGACGAGAGGGTTCAGCTTATAGAGCTGATCCGCTCGATAAACGACGAGTGGCCCCAATCTCCGTGCGTCTGGGATTGGCTAGACCGTGAGCTCTGAGCAGACCCCGAGTACGTGTATGCATCGGGCTGCTCTTCTCAGACGACTGGGAGAGCTGGTGGGATGAGGACGCCGGGCGACCTCTGATATACGGCCATCAGTTGGCGCAATACTACCAGGGTATAGGACAGGCGCCATACCGCGTCGAGGACGAGTTTGACGACGAGGGTTGGGAGCGAGAGGACGACGAGGACGCATGGGAGCCAGACTGGGTCGACCGAGAGAGTGAGGTTGACGCGGAGGAGATTGACGTTACAGACGCCTATTTTCCCAGGATAGGAGTAGCAGTCCGGGCGTAGCAGGTAGAGGAGCACATTAGGGCGACGGTTGAGTGAGCTTGGCTACTGATCCTACTCGACCATACTGGACCTGAGTGCGAGAGTTGTCTGAAGGGTTAGCAACGTCGAAAGATGGGGTGCATCGGAGGGAGTAGAGTGATGCTGACCGAGAGTAGGAGAAGAGATGAGGAGTGATTCAGTGGCCTGATTAGCTTATGTTCTCTCATGAGAGTCCGAATCGTATAGTGTGAGGAAGCTTGTGGGACCCAGAGAGACGGCGGTCGGATACGACATACCACTTCCTGTGGCGTTAGAAGAGGCAGGGCGTGTACCGATACGATACTTGGGAACGTGGCTCGCAGAGGGGCTCTTCCTTTGGACAGTGATACTACGAGACGAACGACCCGAGAGGACTCATGATCTAGAAGGGGTCGGACATCTGATAGCGGATAGAGCACACGATTTAGAGATAGCAGGGGCGAGCAGGAGTTGGTGGAGAAGTGAGTCGTTGGCCAGAGTGATCGTTAATCAGCAACTGGCAAGACTCTCTGGAGGGAGGACGAGTTGGAGCTGCTTGGTATACGGTCCACCACATCCGACCCTCTACCCGAGAGAGGATTGGCGATTCGGACTTCCTACCTTCGTGATTGGGCAGACCTATGGGAGCGGGGATCGTTTGAGTAGAGTAGTGGACCACACACTTTACGCGCTCTAGGAGGGCTTAGCGCCCCGCTTCAAGGAAGTATACTACGCCATTTGTGTGAGGTGGGGGCCTCCCAGTAGAGAGACGCTTAACGACATCATAGACGTTACTAGCTGGGTGGACTGTCTGAGGCCAATCGATCTGATTAGGTACTGCAAGAGACGAGCAGAGATCGATTTCGCGGGGCTAGAGGATGTGAAATTTCTCTTCGAGGTCGCAACTTAGGGAATGCCGGGAAGGACGGCCATGGTGATGCGTGTAGGAGAGCAACTAGTAAGCGCAGGATACACTGTGACGGTACTTCTCCGAGCGTACGTAGACGAGGACTTGACAGTGAGTGAGTGCAGACRACGAGCCAGGGATTTGATCCACGAGCGTAGAGCTGATGTACTGGCGCGAGTGACCTTCCAGACCTCGATTTCCTATGATGTGATGATATGGTCTCATGGTTATATGCGCGCGGAGCACT